ATCGCCAGTATGACCCGGTACGAATAGCAGACACGGTACTTTCTTTGGGATAGCTGATTGTGGCCTGACAACCAATTTTGAATTAGCTACCGGTGAGGCCATGTTTTGAACGGTCCGATTAAGCCAGGCTAGCGTGAAAGCATCCTCGCACCAGGTTTTGAGGACGCCATCCGCATAATGTGCTCGGCCTCGGAACCTTATATCGTTTGGTTCAGTTTCAAGGGAAGCATCCGGTTCCGCCATGAGCTCATCCCGAAGCTTGCCTTCTATTTCTTGCCGAATACCTTCAGCTTGCTCTTGCGTCATGTCAGAGAAGGGTTCCATCATAACAGCAACGCAGAGCTCGTTAGCGATGAAGGTTGCGGCCGCTTCAGCGTACGACGCAGCGGTTCCTCTCACCGTTCGGGGTTTGTTGGTTTTGGGTTTTTTACCAACCCCAGTCGGTGTTACAGAATCCTCTGGACGTGCACGCTTCTGCGCCCTCGGCTCTGGTTTTTGTTGATTATTACCTGATTTCTTTCGACCTCTATCGCCATAAACTGGGAATAATCTCTAAAATTCTACTACTCAAAGTTTACTATCTGCTTATAAGTTATATTTCTTGCAAAGTTCATTCTTGTAATTACAGTATAATTTATTCATATTATAAAGATAAATTTTGCTAGTTACATTCTTTTATCATAATATACACTTAGAATATAACAATGCTTTAGTTTTCCTTTTAAAATCTTAACATTGACCAATATAAGTATAATAAAAGGACAGTCCGACTTACTCGTAATTATATATAAGACGTGCAACAGGAGTTTTGAAATTATCACTGAGAAATATATAAAATTGTTTAATTACGTTATACAGACAGTAGTTAACAGTCTTGCAGTATGTACTCTTTTAAATACACTAAGAAATAATGCAAGTGGAACTATATGTTTTTATAATAAATTTAAATTGTTTAATGGGTATTTTAAATTTCGTTGTATTTTATAACTTGTACCGGCACTTGGTACTCGTCAAACTTTCACTCTAGTGCTACACTAACACGAACACTCCACTAAATCGTGTTTGTTATTAGTTCAAGGATACGATAGAAGTTGAAAAACTTAAGCTTGCTTGGCACACTTTAAACTGAGTTTCATATCGCTCCATTATATTGTATGTCATGAATCCTAATGGAAAGTGGTAACTATTGTATATAAACATGAACAGCACCCCTCATGAATTGTCCATATTTCTATTCGCATATCTAAGTTACTAACTTATGTTAAATTGTCAAATGACAATCTAACATATATGAATCTTCTGGTTTCGAGAAATATTTAGCTACTATTTAATGCCCAATATTATGTTCAAATTTACAATAACGTAAATCATTATTTCTCCTATAATACGACAAAAAATTTTAATACTATATTTCAACTTTCTGTTTTTCTATATGTTAAAAGTTTTTATCTAATTGTAAGAATTTATTTGTATGAAATATCATTATAAAATCCAATTCTGTGCAAGCTCTTATAATTTAATTAAAATCCTTAAATAGAAATACGGTACAAGTTAGCCATATCATGTACTGAAATTGAAACTGAAATTAAAATAAAAAATATTTTAAATTACTGTTAAATTATATAGATGGATATAGGAGATCGCCTTGGCCTAGTTTATTATCCCGATAAAAAAGCTCTGTGATCGTGTCATGGGTTCAAATCTAGCTGACACCAAAACTTTGCGTGTCAATTTAAATTTCCGACCAGCTTTCCGGTGTTGTTGAACATCATTAATTTAATTAATCCTTCAGACAGGTAGGCTAGCCCCTGCTTTGGATTCAAATTTATCAGAGTTTTCACATCAAATCATTGTTAATATTCACATTTTTAGCAAGGTTTCTCAATTCAGCAATTTTTTGCACGACATCAAAAGTAACAGGTTTTTTATTCGACTATATTTTTTTTTATTTGAATTTCGCCAAATGATTGGCGAATTTTACTAATTTCATATGCCTAGTAATGGTATCTGTGAGTGATAGAAACTGATTGACTTGACCCAAAAATTTAACATGATGACGAACTTACTTGGTTTGTCAATCATGCACGGATTTTTAAATATTAATATATAATATGTAAATAAAATGACTATTTCAAAATGCTTGTAATTAAGTTAAAAAAAATATTATAATTATTATAAATACACATAATGTTTACAGAACTTTTCGTAATTTCTTCTTCTTAAAAGTTAATTGTCTTAAATTATAGTGAAATCATAAATAATGATAATTTAGAAGAATTATACATATTATACAAAAGTATAAGCCTACATAAATAAAGTTTACTTTGATACGGTTTCGAGCAATATTGAAACAGGAAATATTCTATTACTTGGCCGTTTAGTTTTTTATCCAAATTTAAAAAAATATTAACAAGTAATTTAATTAATTACTAATTTACAACTCTTTGGTAAAATTTTACAGTTTCATCACTTCATTTGGTTTAGACTTAGTATATCTATTACGACTAACCTGAGTAAACTTGAGGTAACCTAGTTCTCATAACATACCAATGTGTAGACGTGTTATATTTGTCCCAAGATTATATTTCCATTATAAACTTACAAACAACGAAATCTGTGCAATCTGTACCGGTAATAACATAATCTTCGCTGGTATGTTTAGGTACTGTCTGATAACTGGTAGGTAAAGCCTTCGTTCGGGCCTACACGCTACATCTCGGCCGACCTATATGCCACAAGCGGATTACGCTTCGCCTCCTTGCGGGGGTGAGCTAGTATTTTGTCAACATTGTATAATGATACTTATTGTATAATATCGTATACATCTAGAGAAATTATTGTACAGTCTATAATCAAGTGCAATAGTATTCTTTCACTTTGTTGGGATGACATTTCTAAAGACTAAAAATTTGATTCATAAAAATTAGCTATTGTATGCCAAAATTAATATCGAACCAATACATAAGTAATTCACACCATTCCACGTCGATTGTAAAAGAAATTATGAAAATTAAGTTAAATTTATCATATATATTATATCGACAAGAAACCACATCCTTTTGAAGTAATTTAAATTTATATAGCCCTTATAAAGCTCTTAAGTATTACGCATATCAAAGATTAAAACCATTCTTTCAAATCACACGCGTTCAATTAACGCCTTTGTATATAGAACCCACCGCCAATTATACTCAATCACGGGTAAGTTGAGCTTGGATAAAAGAGCTAGTTTAGGTCTATTCTATTCTATGGCTATAAGTGAAAATTTATTTTGGTAAATTTATTTACATGTCACTGGTACCGTTAATGCGATTACAAATGTTTATATATTGTAACTTTCTTTAGTAATTTATAACTTTGATGTGACAGGTTGATAGATGAATATTTGTAGAGATATGATTCTCCAAAAGCTCCCATAGTTAAAAGCAAAAAGTTTGTTGTAAGTTAAAGAGATAAATACGAGAATAGAAAAAGAATAATACGTTGCAGCTGTACTGTTTAGCGAAAAATGGATGCCAATATACTGTATACAGATGTAGATAATAAGAAATATATCTTTTGCATTAGGAGGGGAAGAGTATCGCAGGGTCATTAACACGGCCCGTGGATGATATAGTTAATGACGAAGCGCTACGGAAGCGGCCAACTGAGAAATAGTGTTTCAATAAACACGGCCGGCGCGATCACCAGGAAAATTGACCGATTCCAGGAAATCCTCACAGGAAAATGTCATATAATATCTCTTTTTTTCTATCCCAGCAACCAAGCCAAGATTTAATATTTATGGATGAAATGTGAGACGGAGCGGATGATTTAAAGTGCCTGATGTGGAAATCGTTCCTCGCAGATTTTCTGACCCAGCGAAAGTAATGTCCTCCTTTACGTTTTACGTACCAGTTGTTTTCTTTCGCGGGAAGAGAAAATACCGAAAGGTGCTCCGAGGTGGGCGAACATTCCGCGATTTATTTCTCCCTTTGCAAGGGCATAGTAAAAAATATGTTTATTTGTTTTTTTCTATGGCCTTTTAGTCCTTTTCAAGTTAAATTCAAGTAGATTCTGATTATTCTAAAATAGTGAAATAATTTTCTTATTTATCAATTTATTATAATCGTACTTATTGAAATATTTTTCTATTATTTTAAACGTTATGAATTTATTTTTTTGTAATATCTTATCAATAAAAGTGTTAATTTTTTGATGATTTTTGTTATATTTCTATTTAACTTCAAACTGTATTTATACTCATGTTGATGATTTACTTTCTAATGTATAAAAAACACAATAGCATCAAAGTCACTTGCTGTTTCCATTTCCCCCAATCTTGCTTGAGATCGCCAGTTTATTTGAACTTAACAAGGTCGAACTAATAGGCATTAGACTCATTTGTTACACTTCCACGCTTCGCTGCCCGCTAAAGAACATAAAAAGGAGGGATAGATAGTTCACAACTTCTTAAATCTTGTCCGACTAGAAAGCTTCAATATCTTCTTAATACGATTGCTGTTATGTCAGAGCATTTCAAAATTTTATAAAAACCGGTTGCATTATATTGATTACTATTTTTAAGAGTTATTACAAGCGCAAGTGATATATCGATACCATTGAAGTAATGTCAACACACACTTTGCTCTTTTCACCTCGGCAGAAAGTGAATTTCATACAGAGCTACAATATATTCGGGCCACGGTTCGGGCCCGCCGCCGTAATCAAAAGGCTCTCTGGGGAACAATGGCGCCCACATCGGGGTTGGGCCCGATAAGCCTCGACAATTATACTACATCGACTTTTCAATTATCCAACTGGCTCTTCCTCGCGAACAATGCTAGGTTTATTTATGTATATTAGAACGGTCATTTTGTACGCCATTTAGACTCACTCTGACGATCTCGTGGATCTGTAATGACTGGATGATAATTATATAAGATTTCTAACTTTTACTGAAAATAATGTATTTGTCTGTAAATGGATTTATAATAATATATTTGTTTCTTTATCTACAGGTGAAACTGGAACAGAATGTGGGCAAACCATCCCGCGTCATTCACATACGGAACATACCCAATGAGACGACAGAAGCTGAGATCATACAACTTGGCTTGCCATTCGGAAGAGTTACGAATGTGCTCGTGCTTAAAGGCAAAAATCAGGTAAGAATTTATCATACGTCAATACAATGTTTCTATAAATAGCAAAATGCACCTTGTTTTATAGTAAGTTTGCTATGTAAGAGATAGTTGCAATAACCTCGTTCGAACACAAGTGGGTTGCATAGGCATACTCTCCGTAAATAGGCCGACGATTGTACGGCCTCTACCTACTTGTCTCCTGTTTTATTTTGCCTGTAACATTAGTAGATGTAGGTCGTGGTAACTGTACATGTAGTGAAATTATTAATATAACATATTGTAAATGTTATTAACATTGCAGTTTCTTATGTTTTGTTTATTTAAAAGAATATTCACTTTTCACGATAGGCTAACAAAGGCTTATTCGGAAACACAACAAGTGGGTGGCACAGGCACGATTTCGTCCGCAAATAGTCCGACGATTGTGCCTATCTATTTTGTTTCCATTCATAGTACACGTTAGTCAAATAATTTAGGTAATGGTTCCACTATCGAAAGGTGATAATGTCAAATGCACAACATTGTCGTAATGAGTTTATTTCAGTCATTTATTTTTCATATTACGTGTGTATAAAACACATACATCGCTGTAGAGATATTGTTCTAATTTTAAAGTAACAAATTGTATTACTATAGATTTACGTGTAGCAGTTATGCCTCTGTGACTGATTGACTTGATGGACTGATTGTAAATGCAACATTTATCTTTTACCATAATTTGTTTGATTTTATTGTTGGTTACTTGCATGTTTATAAAAATAATAAAGATAACTAGATACACCTAAAGGTATGAAATGACTTAAACGCAAAATTGCATCTAAAATCATGTTTGCCGGAAATTAAGGGGACGGCGATGTCTAAAATAAATTTCAATTTGGGTCGGGAGGGTCCAATAAATAAATGTTAGCTCCTAGATATATTTTGGCACAATTTTTCTTTTATTATTTTGCTTTTGTTTTTTATTATTTTATTGTATATATTTTGTGTATTTTAATCTCAATAAACGAATCTTTTTAGACATTATGTAACTTATATCTAAAAACAGATATTCATTTATGAGGAAAAAATAGATTTATTTGAAGTACAAGTGGTTTTCTAATAATATCAATACTTATAAGTATTTGAATAAATTAAAAATTATAAATTTATTAATATTATAGAAATATCTAATACGAAAATCGATACGAAACGAAACTTCTCTAAAACACGTTATCACATACATGTTTTTTCACCAAAGCTACTAATCCATCAAATGACATATCCACATTATCGGTCAAGTGTGAAGTACTTGAGACTACGTCCAAGCGGTTAAAAGGCGGCATCCAACCTGTTTTACTGCGTACTTTACGTCGAAACAGCCAAGGGGCACGTGCAATGTGAAATTTACGATTTTCCGCTGACAAATTAAAAATGAGTTAGTTTACAACCGAGAAATAAAATAATAAAAGGAAAATCCTATTAAGGGAAAGCAGTCAGCGCCGTCGGACGCCGCGACAATGTTATCCCTGCTAATAAATAGCCGGTATGACATCCACCCTCGTATATATCGTGGCGTGAAGGAAAACAATCTCTCTTCTAGCATGAGAAACAAGTCGAATCCCTTTTTATGAACGGTCATAGCCTCTTGCTTGCTTTTTGTTGCGAAATATTCCAGGATCTTTCTCTAAAACTCCGCTTCGCTCAAGGTACAAGTTACTGGAAAATATTTCACAAGATATACTCATTTATTGTCAGATATACCACATACATATACTACATACAAGTGTTGCTTTAGGATAGTGATATTAATAAATATCTATAAACTGATTAAATTAATATATATAAACAAAACTTTAATTAATAACTTAAAAACATCAAAACACTATTGCACTACCGATACAATTTAATCAAACTACAAGACGCTCTCCGCTTGATATTAATCAATGTAATGCTCTAGTGCTTTGGTCCTTTGTCGAATCCCAGGAGGATGATGAAAGTATCGTAGTTGATGGTTACCGAAGCCTGGGTCTCCGGTTACAAAAGCGCTGTCTGTCGAGAGATGGGCAAACAGCAATGTGAGTGGACGCCAACAATCGATTCTACTCTCGGTGATTAAAACGAAAGTGGCGTTGACACTATTTTACGATCGACACTCGCGTGACAGCGCTTTGGTTCATTTGCTGAACATACCAATAACGCTGAGATTAATCAAAGTGTATTTTATATATCGACATTTTAGTAAATATTCTAATAAAAATATATACAAGGCAACATTGATCATTTACAAAACTCAAACAAGGACTGAAACAAAAGGCATCAATAACAAATTCGCTCCTGAAAACTTTCTTCACAATTTAGAGAATCGAAATACTTGTTACCTTATCAGTTGCTTCGTTCATTGTTTCTTGCTGTACTTACTTACTATATAATACAAAATTATGTTTAAAAGAAAATCAAGAACATAATTAATGATATATTTATAAGGATTCACTGTTCTGCGTCTATATTTGTGTACTACTACTTATTTTTTGCCAACTTTTACCCGCGACTTCGTCCGCGTGATCGGGATATATTGATTGGCCAGGATTAAATGTTGCTTATATCTCATTTAGTGGGTGTATATTAAAATTTCATAGTGATTAATAAAACTGTTAAGGAGCTAAGTGGTTGTGAAGACATAAGTATATTACGCTATTACATTACTTCAGTCTATTTTTTGTTGTCTACATTCAAACGGTTGTTCACTTTTACTAAAATTTCTCTTTGTTTGATTGTTCCCAACAATTTATTTGTTAATTAGCAGCAAAGTATATTCTATTTACATTGCGGTTTAGCGGACAATTTTTGCAATATAAACACTGTATGTGGTTAACCATATTTAAATGCCTAAAGCAAAATGCAATGTACACAAAAATATGTTCTAATTATTTTATAGATTAATTTACAATTATATTATTCTTAAATCATAGTGTCAAATAAAAAATACACTAACCAAGTATTCGTATGATACGCCTTTTTTTATTATTTATTTATTATTTATATTAAATAGTATTCAATTAGTACAGTGTGTTTTACTATGGACATATTTCTGTTTGACTGTATATTTAGTGAGTAAAATAATTACTGAATGAAATCATAACTCGTTTGAGAGCAGTGCAGACAGCATACAGGAGATCTGTCGGTTATTTGACCATTCAGTTTATATATGGTCGGGCGGTTGAAGCCGATTAATTGGACTTCACAGAGCTAGGCAACATTGTTTGAGAGTACTCTGGTTGCTTAATGATGAGTTTGTATTTCACTTCGTGTTTATTTTTATTTTTGTATATATTAAATGGAAACTGTAACTATAAATAATTAAACTTAAGTTTTATACATAAAACCATAAAAGGTTTTAAAAGCTTTCTTGCTTTATTTTAAACAATTTTATATAAAGTTAAAGTGGTTTTTTTATAATAATTAAATCACTTAAACACTGACAAAATAATTACATTTAATGAATGAAACATGACAACAATTAATGCTTCTCTATATTTATTTTTGCATTCAAACTAAACTTTTTTAATACACATGTGCATAATAATCCGACGACTATTATATTATAAAAGTGCTAAAAGTCATAGTAACAATGCAATTATCGAATTCACCGTGTCATATATGTTTATATTTGTATATATAATTAACAACAACGCACATTAAGTTTTTAATAGATGATGATGGTTACCCCGCCTGCCTTAACAGTTTACACTGGCGGGGTACCAGCGAGGGATGATAGGTGTGAATGAACAGGCAGCTCAGTTAGCCTGTCGTGACAAAAACATCTGGAATTCCGCACGATGGTTTCAGGGGGAGCGCGGGGAGCTTGACCTGATAGAGTATATTGCTATCAATGAGACTGGTAGTCCGCATTACTAACTTCCCCTCCCCGCCCCTGTAATTAGGTTAGGTTACGTAATATGTCACACAACCAAAAACTAATAATTTTTATACAACTGATACTAAATAAGTAAACTGTGATGGAAGGTAAATACTTATGTGACAGTTAAACTATTTCCAAATTCATGCCACAAATTTTTGATTTTTTTTTTATTTTTTTAAACTTTAATCCTTATAATATATTATAATTGTAAAAGTGAGTTTATTACCACTTAATGCCTTAGCGGCTTGATCAGTCGTCATGAAATTTTATACAAATTTGGAAATTTGGAGAAAGATATTTATCCCACTCAATGAACATCAGGTCGAGGGTAAAGACAAGTACATGTTAAATTCTAAATATCTATTTGTTTGACAGGCATTCCTCGAGATGGCGGAGGAGATATCGGCGGTGGCCATGGTGGCGTACTTCGGCGGATGCGTGGCGCAGTTACGCGGGCGTGCTGTCTATGTACAATTCTCCAACCACAAAGAGCTCAAAACAGACCAAACACACAGCAACGCCGTGAGTGCCTTGCCTCATTCAATTGTATGAATATTATATATTTGATTTTTTATACTGATCTGTAGAATTGCTACTCTTTGTGATGTGATGCTTGAAAATTCTCTTTATAAGTGAAAATACAAGCTTTATGTTATCTTCCTGATGGGAAGCACCTACCGTAACATATGAGCGATCGTAACACCTTCCAGTGTTGCGAACGTCCACATGTTACCTGCATATTATTATCTGCACTTACGTATCCTCAATCTTATTTCAAAGCAGCTTTAGTAATTCTACTTATTACAGGAGTATTTTTACAAAGTAAATAATATATTTGACTAAGATCATCCACCTTACAAACGACGGCAGTCAAATAATATCCCGTCTCTAAGTTCCTACTTGGGTAGTAACATTTTACGACAAGTGTGTGTTTCTGTATCCTACCCATTTTAAAATAAAATCTATTTAAAATACGGACCAAGTAGTAAAATGTATGTATATTCATAAACATAGGTGATAAGTAAATTAAGGTATAATGTAACTAAGAAATTATATTGTTCGATAATTTTTTCCATCCATGGATTGATATTATATTATTATTGCTTTGCTAGTTGTCAAATTCGTAAAGGTAAAAAATTGGCAACGTCGATTTTTTACTTTGAAAAGGTAACAATTTTATCTCAGCTTTAATCTTTGGAAAGATGATAATTGAATTTGATAATATTCCTGTTTATTGTTAGCACATGAGCATTATTATTATCCCTAATGTGCTATGTACGTTTGTTTCTATATCCGATACGTAAATTGGAATTGCGGAATCAAGCTCAAATCGTGTATTCCTCGTTAATAACGTAACGATAGTTCAATTAGCCCTATTACAACTGTACAAGCGGATTATCGTAGCGTATGCGATGGGGCATAAACCGGGGTTACCAATTGGGAAATCCTACCCTGTGGCCTGCACTAGACCTGTTAATTTAATCTTTGTTAGAGGCATCAAGAACCCATAATTTAGATAACAGTATTCAATAAACCGGGACAACGTGAGCGACTGTTGGGATTTGATTGAGTTATGAAACTACGAGTGTTGTCTGTATATAAGCACAATGTGCGTGACTAACCTGATAATTTATTTAAATGTTACTGTTTAGTAATCCAAAATTATATGTATTAAATGCATCAACAGATATAACTATGTCGACGTTAGATAAAGTTAAGAACATTTATTTTAATGCTTAAAATAACACAAAGTTAAAATCTCACAAATTCTTGTCACTATTTATTGGGGTAATTTGGTCTCCCATAATTCGAAGATCTTTATTGCACGCAAATGTGCCGCCCATGTTGTGATTACTCAGGTGTCGTTGATCTATCGCGGCTTGTACATTACTTAATGCTTGCCAATTGACATCGACAGACATCACATCAGGGAAATTAGGGCAATGGGAACACGAAAGTGCCATTTCAGAATCTGTAATTTAGTCCCATCTGATGCACAGTTTTTAATTAATGTCAGTAGATTACCAATGCTGAACTTTAAATTAGTTGAACAAAAATATCTATACTGTAATATATGTACTGAAGTATTACTTTATAATTATCTTCTTTTTTCTGCCTTACAAAAAATGTAGATAATTTATTCCAATTTTACTTTTCCAATCTAGGTAAATTTTGAATAAGAGAATGTATAATCAGTAAACAAATAACTCTTCGTAGCTGGGTATAGTGATAAACCTCACAAAATGAATCTTTTCTATTCTTCCTTGGGCCTCGAATACGGGATAGCAATCAATATTTTCTGTAACAAAACACCCAATGGGAGGATTAATTAAAACGCTTAATTAGTTTCGTTTATCCAAGAAACCTATCAAAAACAACCCTCAGTCATCTGATGGCTGATAATATCGAGTGATGAGAAATGGTACTTACCTAAATTCAAGTTGGTATAGCTGAAGACGGTGGCACTCAAGACATTGAAGGGTTGTTTTGATTGGAAATATATAAGAAAAAGAAATAGGCCGTTATAATAATTTAATAGGTAGTAACAACTTATCTTTGTACACATATAGTGGATGATACAACACGACCAATGTGTATACAACCAATATTGCTGTTTGTGTTTAATAAATAGCAATAGTTTGTATGATCTAATTGTCAACAAGGCAAACAAGCGTCTCTGTCAACACTATGGCTAATTAATGTGATGATCAAACTGAAAACGGATACAACTAGGTGCCTATTATCTGTTTAACTAGATCAGTAAGTTCCGTGTTTAGTTTATATGATTACTATCGACATTCTATTAGTAACTAAGATCTTTAAGTTTGTTATCATTCAAAGTAACTTAAAAAAGACGGACAATTTAATTTTTTTTTTCTCATCCTTATTTTCTTTTATTAAGTAGCTCATATAAATGAAAATTAGCAGTTTAATTAAAAAATCTACGATTGTGAAGAAACTCTATATGCCCGCAAAATTCTTTAAAATTTTTCTCAATTATGCAATTATCATCATCAACATCATTATTGTCATTATATCAGCCTTTAACCATCCACTTCCAAATATAACCTTCCCCTTAGGGCTTTTACCTGTAGTTGCAACGCTTGGTAGGCAGATTGGCAATTCAAAAATGAAATTATCAGTTACTATAAATTAAATATAAATCGTGTTTGTCAAACTCGGTATGTATTCCTAGAAAGTTTCTATTTTGAGTATTTGATGATTATGTAGAAGCTATATGTCATACTTTGTGCTCACGGTGTAGGCAGAAAATTATATCTGTTTTTATTCTGAGACGTTATTACAGTTAGTCAACATTCAATAACTTTTAACAATAGCTTTTTGGTTCTAAATACCTATTCTTAATTTGCTCTTGTTTATTTCCTGTTTTGTTGTATCTTTTTTATTAATCTCCGGTGCAATAGTGAAGTGTCAAAAGATCCTTTCTTTGTATAGAGCTGTTCCTTTTAAATGATGAAGGTTTAATTAACTAATATTGTAGCAACTTCTTGATAGAATTACATATTACCAAAATATTATTTAAAATATTTGTACTTTATTCCGCTCGTTATTTTTGTTATTGCGATTTTTTTTCTTTATTTATAAATGTACATTACTAGCGCCTTGAATAGATTACGTAATTTCCTTCCTGTTACTACCAAAATTGCGCTTGCACACTCCTTACTCCTGCCGATTCTTAATTATGCCAACTCCTGTTATTTAGACTTTACTGAGGAGCAATTAAACAGGCTTGAGCGTCTTCAAAATTTATGTATTCGCTTCATATTTGGTCTTCGCAAATATGATCACATTTCTCAATTTCGTACTCAACTTAAGTGGCTCCCTATCCTTTTTCGTCTTAATTTATGTATCCTATTTCTACTTTACGTAATTCTTTTAATCCCATTGTTTCTGATTATCTTAAAGACTGATTCGTGTATCTCAGTGAAGCCAATGGCCATACTTCACTCAGTGTCAACAACCTCCGTCTCAAATTTCCCACTCACTCCACTTCCTTCGTTCAATCTCTCGCTAGCTTTAAAATCTTTATGAAATCCTATCATCTCTTCCTTTAAGTACTATTTTCCCGTGTTCTGTCTTCATCTTCCAGTTTCACTCTCTCCTGTTGTATGTGTGCTTTTAAGTTTGTGTATGTTGTGTATGTTATCATATATATATATGAATATTTCCTATATATACAATATAGGAAATAAGCAAGGCAATTTACAAACACAACGATACTTACATATATACACACACACATACATATACATATCAATCAAACAAAATTATATAATCCCATGCATATATGTTAAATATGTACCCAATATATATTAATAATTATAGGCACAATATATTTGTTTATATATAATAGTGCGCCACCTACTCTTTGTCTTTCTTTTTTTTCTCAGTGTCCTTTACCCAAAGGTTGTCTGGAAGAGATTGCTTAGCGATAAGGCCGCCTTTTGTGTCATTTCTCATTCCAATTAAATGTATTTTCTATTTTATAAATGGTGCAGTAAAGTATAAAATAAAATATACGATTTTATTATTGTTTTCATGTAGTATTTCTTATAAAATTAACCAAACTGTTATTTAAAAATTAAAACACGGTATTTAATATAAATATATAAAACCATGACAAAACTGAAGTACGATTGTGATACCATTAACAATTCACAAGGGGAAATCTGTAGTAATAGTCACGTTCCTATAGTGGACTTAATCCATTATAGCTACGCCGATTTAGGGTTCGTTGTTTAGTAAATTGCAGGGCCCTCGCCCCAAAAGACCTCTGATCCCTGATTTAATTTCAAATCATCTTACATCTCTCAGATTATACTATGTACCATTGTCATTAAGTTGATATTTTATATCTGGGTATTTAACATCGCAACCAAACTTGACCAATACTATTATTAATTATTAAAGTAACAGATTTTTAAAGTTTCTTATTACTTAATAAAAAATACTACTTAAAAGCTTATAAATAACATCAAACTATCTTACATCGACTTCAAAGGCTAATTCGTAAAAGTTTTTTTTAATGGATGATAATGCGATGGTAACCCCGCCTGCACTAACAGTATACGCTGTGTAGAATAAAAGGGCATGTTAGTTAGCCAATCGTGACGAATATACCTGGATTTTAGTATTATGATTTCCAGGGGGGACCACGTGGAGGTTGATCTGACAGGGTATATTACTAGCAATGGAACTAGTAATCCGCATTACTAACAATCCCTCCCCCACAGAAGTCAGTATTAGTTTCCCTCGATACCTATATCATTCTACATTCGCAGCAGAATATTTTCTTAAACAAAAAATATTACTACTGCACTTCAGTCTTATTTTATTGCAAATAATTTCTGCTAAGATTAACTTTAAAAGATATTATTATCTCAGTACAGATTATTCGAAGAAAAGAGATGTACCTACTGCGTGCGTCTGTCATCCCTGTTTCCTTCCCGTTGGCTCTCGTACCTTATAATGATGTGACTCGTACCCTCCCGCCAACATCTCGTTATCATTATTGAGGATTTATCCTTCGTGTCTGTATCAGACTCGAATGCTTTATTTTAAAATTTTCATGTATTTATGTTCTTACTGATCCCTTTTCCATTGCTACTATTGGTCAAAATATACGATTATTGTATCACACCAATGGCTGTTTTATTACTATTTCATAGCTAATGTATTTTGTTTTTGTTGTATATTTTTTTTAAAATATCAACTAATAATTCCTTCTGTCCGAGAAATACAAAACAATAAAAACGTATTGTCAAAGTTGTAAATATGAAATGATTCTGCCATAGCTCGAAAACGAAACAAAACTTCCCCGTTTATTTATTTATACAAAGTCCATAGTACCTAGGAGTGTATAAAAAATACGTGCATAAATATATAGTCAGCTTTTATATATTTATTGTATGTGAAAAAAAGTGAGAATGTTAAATATTCAGGTGTATCCTATATAGATATGAATTTATATATTAGCAAATAACATTGTATGTATATCTACATCTATAACGTATCATATTAGATTATATATTTTTATTTATATTAAATAATAAAACTTACTTCTAATGTAGCAGGTAACTAGAACTAATATTACTAAATTAAAATTTTATAAACTTAGTCTTTGTTATAATTATTTCTTAAGTCTTAATTAGCATTCAGTTTTATATTATTAAGTACTTAAAAGTAAGTTGGTAGTTGTATAAACTATTAAGAGATATCAAACGATGTCCTTACAACTAATGATGTTACAAATTCATGATCTCTTTGTATCAATGGCGCGCACTATTAAAACTTATAATGAGCAAGTTTCGAAGAATGTTCACAGACTTGCGATAGACGAATGTACGTACACTTAGTCAGAGACGTGGACGACATACATCCAGTTAGATTATAGTTGTCAAGGCGAAGTGATTTATTAAATCCAAAGTAAGGCGCATTTTATAACTTAAAGAAAGTTTGCTACGATTCCTGGTTTTGTCGATTATCGCTGCATTTTATCAGACGTCCATTAAATGCAGAGCTTTGATCAATCATGCGATGCTACAGGTTTTTATATAGTGAATGAATGGAGTTCTCGAGCTACGGACGAAGTTATTTTGTCGCATCACCAACGTCGCTACGTTGCTCGGCGTCTGCCAATGGTCGCGGTGAAAGATTGCGCGTCCCGAATAAGACCTTTTAAATAACTCGAGAGTTCGGCGCGCCACTTGCTCTGCTGACACGTAAAATATTTCAGATCGAATCGCGTTCCTGAATACTACTGCGTGTTCCTTTTGCAAGATTACTTATTTGGATTTTTCTCTGTGTAAACTCTTACACGAGTCGGAGATAACATTTTATGTTCAGAATTAAAATTCTTTTTAAATTAAATGTTACTTAGACCCACTAAAAATACGTCATGATCATTTATTGCATATATAAATTGATTATGAATATAATAGATTATAATTTTAAAGACTTTTTTATTGCTGTTCCAATTTGTTGTTCATGCAACTTGTATTTGATAGCTTTGCAGTAAATATGCCACCAATAAAGGGTACAGGAAAAGGGAGGCAAGTCAACCCGAATTTGTACCGAAGCCTTTGCCGTCGGCGGCAGGCTTACCATGACACGGTTAAAGCCTTATTTTTGTGTCTGGCCTGCCCGCTTGTCAAGCCAGCGACGAGTACAAAGCCATGTGAAAATATAGGATCAAAGTATGCCGCAGGCATACATACGAATATTATAAATATAGTCTACATACACGTATGAAGTATTAGTTTTCGTAGTGTAAGATAGCCCTTACGATTTTTGATAAGATGATTTTAGTAAACTACGTTAACGCTGTATCATATTACGTAATATTTAAATGGTAACTACAGTGCTATGTTTCTTTTTGGATATTTTCGATATTTTTGTAAAAACTGTGTTATGAATATATCTTCTTGCTTATCTATTAAAGAAAAATTGCAGTTCTGACCTAAAGACATAAACAAAACTATAAACATTGCAGAATATAGATAGTGTGCTAGCCATGACTCTGCGGAGAATTCATTTAGGTATGTCTCAAATTGTACCGATTATCTTAATATTTAAACTGAAACATACCTACAGAGCACGCATAACCGCTTCATGAAGTTTATAGATTACATCGTTGTGTTAACCTACAGATGCTACAAAGTAACGTTTTGGTATTTCGTTTTAAAATAAATTTTACTCTATTCAATATCTTTCACTTCGTTTACTATTTTATTTATTTGTATAAAATTATATAAAACGCATATATGCTACAAACCTTCTATATGATAAAAATATTAGTATTCAATTCAGTTAAATACTGAATATCCTTAAATATATTTACATTAGACGTTATAAACATCTTACATGCACTTAGTCCGAGATCCATATTGTCCCATATACTCGAAGTAACAAAGTAGACAAATTATACCCGGACGATACAAAATAAGTTTATGGGACCCCTTTGTTTGATGTGGTCAATGTTATCTGTCTATGTCGGCACTCGAAGGTGGCCCACGCGTGCAAGATAACTCCCGTCTAGTATTGCGTCTCATTGTTTGGCAAGTTACGAGACCAGACATTAGTTTTTGTACGTGACCATAAATGTTATATCCTCGGGAGAATACCTTACAATATTGCAAGCGTATGGCTCTTACTATGTTGGTCCGGGGAAATAGAAAACGGTTGTGAAGTTATACGTCAGACTACTAAAACAATTTTTAGTATAATGTGTTTCCTCATTGATCTTTCAAGTTTGCTTTATTAATTGAAACAAAATTCGTGCAAAATAAATATGCAATACCTTTGTTTTATGTATTTAGTGTACTTAACCTACTTAATCCGTAATCAAATTTGGTGAGGTTGTCCATAATGGACTGTGAACGGGGTGGGAGCGTTTTTGGAATTAACTAGCGGCTATTTAGTCAACATAAAACGAAGATAAATGTGAGGGGTCGTTTGTCTTATAGAAGTGGCCTTTTAAATGCCTTTGCATTTTCATGGATTTAGAATGCATAACCGTAAATATTTGTGTCCATATTTATAAAAAAAAAAATTTTTTAAATAGTACCACCTAATTTTATCAAAATCTAATTCATTATTTACACATGATTAATAACGTTCAATTATCTGACTCTTTTGTAACTTTTTCATATAAAACTTATGTTAATTAAATAATACATTATTTAATCTAATTTTTCTTTTTCTTTTTATTAACCATTTATATAAAATGCAATATCCTTTCGTTGTTCTTATCTGCGTTAAATATTTTTGATGTTTTATAGACAGAAACTTTGTTTTATAACATTGTAACAACTAATTGCAAATCTTAATCATTTATAAATGTATCAGCGGTTTTCTGTTCTTTATAATAATATCTTGTATTACTGTTGTTTTAGTCGGCGTCGGCGCAAGCGGCGTTACAAGCTGCACAAGCAATATCAAATAGTGCGGGTGCGGCGCTCGTAGCCGGCGCCGGCGCAGCCTTGCAACCTGCAAACGGTGGCACAGAAATACAGGTATGTTATCATAAAACTCTAAATGTTAAACTTCAAAGAACAATAAATTATTTTTAAAATATTAATTTGGTAATTAAATTATTTTACACATTATAATGGTAATCATATTCCGTAATGCAGAATTAAGTACTAGACGAATTGAGTATAATATCTGTAATTTTAAATTGTAATTTTAATTTAAGTTTTTAATTGTAAATATTCTAATAAGAATATTTACCGATCATATTAAGCTTATTTGTTAAATACAAATTCGATAACCTAGATATCTTTATGTAATAATAACTTTTGTCATGGATATCAAGAACTGTTTCGCTAACAAGATTTGCTTATTTTCCAAAGAAACCTATTTAATTTCTTTTTTCGTAAACTTTTTTCTCCTACATTATTCGTTATATTTTGTTTAGTTACAATTGTAGTTTTCTTTTGTAGTACTTTAGATGAATTTAACAACTTATTTTAGCTCATACCAAGAAATCTAATGTATGATTTAACATTTTTTGCAGGTTACTAAGTGAAAATATTCACTTTGAAAAAGCTTTGTATTACCATGCTCTTTATTAGGGAGCTTTTAATGTAACGCTAATTTCGCTGTTAACTATACGAGAACCTTTACTATAGAGGACTCCAGTAGTAGTGAAACAAAAAATACCTACGTTAGTATTTTTCAGTTCCAATTTTAAAACATTAAATTGTTTTAAACCCGGTTATAGTATTAATAAGTCAGTTTTGAGAACAATAGTTTTGAAGCGGAGTGGAATAAGCTAGTTAGATTAAGGTGTATTTAATAAGTAGTTTTGTTGTACGAACATAGACAGATGGTGTTGCCAACTGTAGATGAAATAACATTTTAAAAGCAGCAACATTTTAAATGAGCATTAATATACGAAGTTACCTCCGTTTAATTTTTTTTTAATCTAAATTAATAGCTAGTACTACATTGTTAATAATATATAGGTACTTTACTATTCAAAATAATTTAACTCAAATATTTACAGTATACTTGAATAAATTGAAGGAACAGTTTATAACAATAATTTTATATATAATATGTATTATGATTAAAAATATTACTAATCAGAATCTTAAATCGAATCAAAATGTGTCATATCTCTAAAATGAAAATTTTAGTCGTATATAGAGAAACTTATTCAAAACACCAGCATGAATTACAAGTGTAGTATATTTTAATTAAGACTAAGTAAAATTTGGTTATTACTGTTCCCTAATATTACAATTATATTATTATTTATTTATTTATTCGCTAGAAATCATGCGTATATTTCTCTCTACTCTCATTTTATTTGGCAGACGATTCTTAACATAGTATGTAATCACAATCAATATATACAAACTGGGTATAGTAAGAATGCCATATTTTGTGAAAAAAGTCCTGCAAGACTGCCACTGCGGAATCTGAGCGTAGTTCTAATTTCTCTTTTTTGCAACCTGAAAGCCCTTTCCACATTATAATTATAGCTGTTTACCCACAGTTTAATTAAACTTTTTAATCTATATAATTAATTTTAGAATAGGTTTACCGCATTCGAGTAATTTGACACTTCCCTAAGGTTAACTGAAAGAGATTGCTTATAACATTAAATCCGCCTTGTACACATACATTTACTAATAAATAAATAAATAGGATGGTTTCTAAAAATTGATCCCATAGTCTATCAATTTAAAAGTTATATAGCTTCTTAATAATATTATACAGAGCACATTGTAAATATTAAATACGCCCCATTATTAGATACGAAACTCAAACTAAAACCACTAGTCCGCTTAACAGTAAGCAAAGCTGATTACAAAGGCCACCTTAAATATTACTAACTTCCTCCCGAATAAGATTTCGAATCCCAAGCGGTTACTGAGACTAAGACGTCGGAAGGTACTGTATTACTGCACGGTGCACCGTGCATACAATGACAGGTTAAATAGCGATCGTTAGATGTCGCCTGGGGCTACGCTTACCAAATGGGACCGATCGGTCAATTTTCGTATCAGTTTTAGCTAATCGTATGAAAATATAACATTTCTGTACATTTAGCTTATACTGCTATATTTACTAAAAATTTCTTCCAATTTAGAAAAAAAATCTTATACTTCTATCAATGTATTAATATAAAGAAAGCCAAAACGTACTAACATGAACTACAACATAGATTTGGGAATATTCTATATAGTGTTTCTTTTTTACTTTCTTTTCTTATACCATTAAAGTGCAATTCTTTTTTTTAATACGAGTTTTAATATTTTACAACAAAACAAATGCAGTTCCATTCTTTTTTACGCCATAACCATTGCACTATGTTTGCTTTTATGTGATCTCCGTGCAATGAATACGTTTTCTGCAACGGCCATTCTGCGATATCTAATGGATAAAATAGTAACGAGTTGTTTTAGTTTAATATTTCAGTCTGTTTCAATATATATAACATAATGAAAATATAAACAAAGGAATAATTGAACCAACTGTAAGTCTGCTGATATTCAATAGTAGTACAAATAAAAATCGATTTATTTCATTGAATGTTTCTATTTGTTAATAATTTCATTTGGAAAGTGTTTCTTTGAGAATTAAAAACAAATTGGTTTTCTTTCTATAAAATTATCATGAAACAAGTATAGTACCTTAGTATAGTACCTCAGTATAAAGAACTACTCTATTTTGTGTTAGTACTATTGTAGTAGTATTATTACTAGTCAATACTCTCTGCACTTCTTTATCATAATTATAATTATAATCATATCAACCTTTAACTATCCACTGCTGAGTGCGAGGATCTCCTAGGGGGGTTTTGTCAGTAGTTGCCGCACTTGGCAGGCGAATTGGCAACCGCAGTAAGGCTTTGGAGATGTTTTAAGAGGGACACTGCTACCCTTCTCTCGCCCTCCCTTAGTTGCCTCTTACGACACCTACGGGAAAGGAAGGGGCGGTCGATTGTATGCCGGAACCACACTCTATGCACTTGTGCACATGAAAATAAATAAATAAATAAAACAGTAGCCTACTTTGCCCTATACTTGATGTCCGTTATCGGATCCGATTATTTGGTCGTAAATCAGCCAGCACAGGTACCCAATACTAAAAATAATGTTTTAACTGTGTAATTCTAATTGTCAAATTTATTGTTTACAGGGTGGTCCTAACACAGTACTGCGTGTGATCATAGAACACATGCTGTACCCCATAGTTCTCGATGTTCTTTACTCTATCTTCCAGCGGTATGGAAAGGTGCTCAAGATTGTCACATTTACTAAAAATAGTAAGTTTGCTTTTCACTTTTTACTTTAGATCATTGTTATGTATTGTCTTGTCACTGTAATATGCATGCCATTTTGGTACTTTTTGATATTACTTACAGAACTATTTTATACAGAAATTAATAATGTGACGAGGCTCATATTATTTACCTACATATACATTTTTAGCTCGTTTACACATAAAAGGACTATTTATATTCACCTGATATATTATAATAACACATATACAATATACATATATCATGTTTAATAAAAGATAATTTTTAAAAGTAAACATCATAATATTAATTCCTATTAACATCAATTTCCAGTGAACACTTATGATGTCAAACAATAAAAAGAAATGAAAAATGGCGGTCTCCTCCATTCCACCTCATCGCGGAACGAGGAAGCGGCTAAATTGAAATTAAATATTAATTCGTTTTCATATAATTTCAAATTACCTACCGAGTTGCAAAGGCATTGTAAGCCCGTAAAAACTCAAAACATTAACCATTTGCATATTAATTCGGCGTAATTAGGTGCGTTATTCGCGAATCACTATCGCGCTCAGCAAGCTTTCATCGGTGCCTCGGTGTGTTCACTAAACCTTGCAATACAGTGACTAAAACAACTATTAATAAATCAAATTGGAGCGGGCTTTGAAATTAATTTTGTGCGGGCGTGTTATAGTGATAGATTTACCAAACATAACACAGGCCGAAAATCCAAGGGCGCAATCCGTTTAAAATTTAAATCGTACCCTCATGCATATCCTAAATAAATCCGGTAGCACATAGGAGGCAGGCAGGTAGGTAGTAGGTACATATTTGATAAGCTCTCGGGCCCGCGGGCTGCGCGGCGTACTGTACTGCTCACTCTCGACTAATTATACTGGTACACCTAGTGGAGTACCTCGAATCAACTTTATTTAAAACCTCACCGGACACTGCCCCCTGGAGAGGATTCTCGTGCATAAATTTCGCTGAAAAATTATATGCCTTGAAATTTTTATGCAAAACTGAATATTTTGATAATGGCTAAGAAATACAGCTTTTTATTTCTTAGTTATTATAATTTCAATTGAATTAAAATTAGTTTTACTTATAAAGTAAAATTTTATTATAATATTTTTTATAATAACACATCCGTAATGAATTAAATTGCTTCATAACTCAATCAAAGAAAATATATTAAATACATATTTCTGCAGGCCGTAGAAGAATTAAGAATTAATTGTAAATAGCCATACCTACTCGAACTGTTGTTTTTACCTTTCTTCTTTTTATGAGATTCCCATATTCTTTTTCATATTATGATGATTAATATGAAATTAATAATGAATTTGATATTTCATCTTTTACATTTTATTAAGAGAAAATTAATATTATTTAGTTTAACTGAAAGTCCGAAGCTTTTATTATCTTATTTTGAAATACGAACGCATGTAATTAACATTTGATTTTTAAATTTCATTCCATAACATGGGTTTTTATAGAATTTGTTTAATTTAATATTAACATTCTACTTCTGAACACGAGTCTTTCTCTATGAAAAGAGGCTATTAGCCTACTATTAACATGCTGCTTAAGCAATTAAGTACAGGATTTTATTTTGCTTTTTCCTTCTCTTGCACTATTGAGTTTTATTCTCTTAATCATATCTTGCTATTTCTGGGAGGAAAGTAATTAGTGACATGTTGCATTGTTATTCCGTCATCACAAGGAGTTGGACAAATTAATTATACATTTCAAATTAATATAATTTTTTTGTGTTCATATTATAAATCTCTGTAATTTGTTAGTGCTTTGAACAATAAACAATAAAGAGTTTCATTCTTTAAATTCTAATTATACCACAACTGTAATAATCATCACTTAGGCTACTATTGCAAACGACGTTTACTACCTGCCGTATTTCTATTTCTGATTCTACCTTATTTTAGGGTATATCCATTACGACTGCAGAACATTAATTTTCGTTTAAACATTGTAAATCAGCGATACTCTTATTTAATTAACCATTTGAGATTGGCTCATCGATTTCCTCGTACAAATCCAAAATACGTCCCGTGTGCTCTACACTGAGTACACAGATCAGGGCGCACATAACTTGTCGGTATCACGACGGCACCTCCACTAATGCAGCATTTCCAATTTCCGAACGTCTCTCCCGACCTCGTGCTACGTGGGAACGGTTGTTTGCTTTTTACCGCATTCATCATTGTCCAATTGTATAGGTTTATCTATCTTTGCATTTTCAATCGTACTTTTTGTTTGTACTATAATTTAGTAGGTTTTGATATACGAACTTTTGAATTATGTCGTTCCATATCTGTGTATAGGAATCTTACAGTAGAGGTAGAGAGAACCGATTACCAAATACATCCAACCAAATGCATATCCATATCTACATCTCTTACTTCGTCCACATTCATTTCTTGTCTTATGCATGTACGTTATTTCCGGACAGACTCTTGATTTCTATCTCCGACAGTATTATAGGTATGTCATTTGCATCCTTACACTTTCTCATTGTACGAATATATGTTATGTTGTATATATATGTTTTGTTATCCGTTCATGCGATATATAATTGAAAGCTATGAAAATATTAAATTTCCTATAAACGAGTAAGTAATCGATATATTCTGTATTTCATTGAACCAAATGAAAGAAAAATGAATTATAGAAATATTATATACAAAACGTACGTACAAAATATTAAACAGCCACTTGAAAGACTAGATAACTTTATCTCCTTTCCATCAATTCAAATTTCGTATGTTTGACAGTGATGGATTGTTGTATAAATTATGCGAGGTTTATTAATGTTATAGATAGGGGTAGATCTAGAGGTGTATTATATTATTTATATATATTTGATATTTAATTTGAAATTTGTTTCTTTTGTTATTTTTATATTATGTTGATAATTTAGGTATATTCGTACACATTCCTAATACTGGAATTATTAAGAAATGCTAAACAAGTTTTTTTTCTTATACCATGATAGTAGCAAACAAGCATACAAACCGTGTGATGGTAATCGGTTACTGCAGCCTATGGACCCCTACAACACTAGGGATGTTACGTGCGCGTTGTTGACCCTAAAGAAACCTTAATATACCCTTTTAGTTGAAGATAAATGTAAATGGACATCACAAAATAAAACTATAAAATTTAAATATTATTACCTGATTGCATATTTATATATTGTTGATTATTTATTAATTTTTATTATTGTTATATCAATTAGTTCTAGTTTTATTTCTTCAGACATAGATTTGTACAATTTTGCTTTTATATGAAAAAAGTAACAATCCAATTTTTATCTATTCAATTCCAAATTCCGAAAGTATACAATTTACATAAACTTCATTTGAATGCATTTTTATTGGTTTAATTAAAATATTAATTTCAGTCCTAAATCCGAAGCAATAAATTAGCACTATTAAGAAGGCATTATTTTCATATGCAAATTAAAAAAATAATGGAGAACTATATTTCTTACTTTATTAACTCGTACAGCCTTGTCTAGTATAACTTTTGAATTTTGCTATAACTTCTAAGCAAATAACTAGAACTTGCAGTCTTGCGATTCGATACTAGCCGACTGAAAGCATATCGGATACGTATAAATCCCCACTTCAATTATTATACCTCGAAGCAAATACATAATATCATTCGGAATTTCACTTTCTTCATTATACCTACATTTAGCGTCTTCTTATTTTCTAATGTTGTTTTCATATATAATTTTTAGTTTAAGCAATATTTTTATATCGGACAATTATATTCATTTTAAATAATTATAATATTTATTTTTAAATATACCTTACGATAATTTATTTCTATATTTATTTATCTAAATCTGTAACTAGGCTATCTGTAAACGAAAACTATTGAAATTGATGAAATTTGGTACAACTTAACACCGGAATTAATTAAACCGGAATATAGGATTAACTGTAATGTCTAAATTCCACGAAAAAATAAAAATATTCGTGACGTAGCTAGATAATATTTGAAAGTTTGAGTATTGCGTTCATATATTTATTTTTATACAAATAGCGAACCGTAAGATTTGTTAAAGATTTTATTTCTGAACATTTTATTTTATAAGATCCGAAAACATATTTCGGCGTCGATTATTTCCGTCAGGGCTGTAGACCCTCTGAGCCGTAATCAATCGCTACTGTAAATAAACACGCGGCTTCCACGATTTGTGAGATTTAATATTTTACCTTTATTTATATTTACACATTCAACATCAAAGCCTTATAACTTTAATCGGTTAGAAGTTGTTACTGATTTGCCTTGCTTCTCCGTGCGTACTTTGTGGTTCACATTATCCAATAAATATTATGGTATTTTATTCTTCGATTAGATATACACAAATTAATTCAATTTAATTCATAGCCAACATTTAAAAAATTATCCTCAATAAATCAACATCTATATATATATATATATATATATATATATATATATATATATATATATATATATATATATATATATATATATATATATATTATTCGTCATTTGTATTTGAAGTAAATTTAAGTTTTATTTACTGGTTTAATTTTTAATCTCAATTATAATATAGTCCGTACATTATTCAGTGTTTACAACGAAATAATTATATCTTTATCACGCCTTGGTCAACTTTGGGTCATTATTTGTAGTGTAAATCTGGTTATCAGTGATAGATGCTTTCGAATCGATCGAAAAATAAAAATACTCGTTAGTTCTGGTGAGACCTGACGAGAGGTTGCCGTCAAACGCGTTCTTAATCCCGAAACAAATCTCAATGAAGAGCGCGGAGTCCCCGTAATCCTACCCCGTCCGCCCCTACCCAACCCCCGATTGGCTTTATTAAGGTGTAGCAGACCGCTACAATTATTATGCGTCCCCTGTTTGCGGTAGGTGTCGTGTCTGTGTCGCCGTCAGATTCCCGTAATTAAGGATTTGATTCGGCAATTGATACCATCTTCTATGTATCTTATGTTGGGTAAGATTTTAACATCATGACTTTTGTTATTACAAATTCGAATTAATATGTTCTTGTATACCTAAATGATATATATGTGTGGTGACGTAGTAAGAATACAATAAATCACCACTCCTTTTCGTCCCCATGATTTCGTCGTGGGATGCGACTAAAGGTACAATGTACGAGAAAAGAAAAACTCGCCCTATACCAAGCCACCTGGCCAACATGACAATAGTAGACTAATATTAATATCCTTGTCTTTTAAGAAAGAGACCCGTGGCCAGTGACAATTACTGGATGTTCTGTAATTGCAATAAAAATTATAATTGAAACAACATTGATAACTTATATGGGATTGTAATCCTAGAAAAGTCGGATATTCTATTGCATATATTTTATACTAGCTAAAAGTATTCTATGTGCTAAATAAGCATATAATTTACCCATGTATCAAATTCCATTTACATCTTTTATGATCCCACATATTTATATATATTTCTCTAACACATTTCATCAAAATTGGTTCACTGAATAAGTAAAAATATAACACAGTAAGTTATAAGCACTTTCAAATATCTTTTTCCATTTTGAACATTACCTCTTAAATAAATAATGATACAAAATGATTGGTGGTATGATCCCTTGACGTACCTGGTGATCTTATAAATTACATATGAGTAATAAACTTAAAAAAAAAATTATTCACGCTCTATTGTATAATTTGCGTGTTTTCACCATACTTTAAAGTCACGATAAGTAGAGAGTACGTATCTTTAGAAAAAATTATACACGTGTAAATAAATAGCAATCCAGAATATTATATTTTACTAAAATGTATAATATATTTTTCTATTAGTAAATAAATATTACAATTAACAACTTGCATTAGTGTCTGGTTTGAAGAAAGAGTGCACAAACTGCAGCCTAGAACGCATTCAGGGTTGATATAGCCCACTCATTTGACGGTAGATGCGACGAGATTTAAGATATCAAATTATACAGTAATCGGTCGGCCGGCGGACCGCGCCCCGCTTAATATTAACATAGCGGAAGCAACCTCCTCGCTACAACGAAATGCGGATTACAAAATTTTAATTTAACCACAACTTCCATCTTGTGTTTACACAGACATCGACGTTTAAATATTCCATAAAGTAATTGCGCGTTTTGGTTGAATTTTTAATGGAACATTATGAAGGCGCGTGCGCCGCGGATTGATTGAGATCATTTAAATTTCTTGCGCGCAATCGGAGCTCCGAAGAGCGTTATTGAATTAGCCCACGAATATTTCAGCCGAATAAATAAACCAGAACAAAGGGTGTACACAGAAACGACTTCGGAAAAGTTTCTAGCGAATTTTAACTGTGTGCAACTTTTTGTGTCAACTCAAAAGGCGACTATGAAATCAATAAAATTGTATTACTTTATAATTAACAATACAGCAAACTTTTCATCGAGTTCTAATTATTAATTTGACATGATTATATGAATGCACCTCTGAAGTTAATTCAAAGTTATTGAAATAATTAAAAACACAATCAAGATTCGTTTAGAAGAATTAATACCAACTTATTTACTCGATATTCCAGGAAATATGGAAAAACAAACCTCACCTTAAGCGGAATGAATGAAAGAAGTTTTAATTGAACTAAGAAAATTGTTTTACGAACAAAGGGAATGTGATAGGATATAATTAATTTGTTCAATAAAAGTATTTTTTCAATAAACACTTTTGCGCAACAAAACATTTACGACTTCGTTTACGTTAAAGACTGACTGTAAAGGAATGAAATTACATCGCTTGGTTTCATTGTCCTGTCTAAAGATCACGGTACACAACGGGTATGAGCAGGATGTAAAAGCTTCTCAAGCATTGCTATCATCCTTGAAAAGCTTTTTACATCCTTGAATGGAATAAGAAAAAAGGTTCTTTATCCCGAGGGTGTAAACTTTCTTGTTGTATTCTCATAGAAAACAAATCCCGGTCGTATGAACTCGCGTGGTGAGATTCAGAATGATGTACGAAGATGAAACGTAGCTGTCAGTTATGTTGATACTTTAAACGATACTACTACAGTATGCCAATTGTTCCTAATATTACATTGAATGTAATATAGGGAACAATTACGTCGTAACACTATAAATTACGTCGTTGTTGCACAATATAAAAGAAAAAAATATCTGCATTTTATTTAGTTATAGATGTAATGAATACGGAGGTCTAGTTAAACGTCGGTCAGACGTAATCCATGGTATAAATTGGCTGGCTAACAAGCGTTAGCCACAAACTACACTGTCCATTACCAAACATCAATACGTTGTGTATCGTAGTGTTCGAAATGTTAATCCAATATTCGGATATTAATCACAACAATGAAATGATTTCCTTTTTCATGCTCACATCAGTGATGACTGCCCAAGTTTTTATTTTGTCTACTTCCGGAGAACTCTTTTTGCTTATTCACGACGTAATTACATAAAAACTCCAATTTGCGGTAAGCCTTTTATGCATTCCATTTTAACGTTCCCAAATGGCTGCCCCAAAGAAAATATGGGGCCTTAAAGAGCATTTAACTATGTATGAAGGAGACAGCGCGTTACTTTTAATTTACGTCGACGTTTCTTACCTTGAGTGGTTCTACTTTCTATATTTTATAGGTGTAGGAAAATTGTTAAGGGTAGGTTGAATAAATATTCTCTGATATGAGAAATCAGACAAGACAAGACAGATATATCTGGATGAAAATTCGGAACAGCCAGATACTTGCCAATTTAAGAAATTTTACATCCCAATTATCCTCGCAGAAAATCGGTTTTGAAACTTCTTTGTCAGGAATGTAATATATGTGAACAAATTCAAGTACGGGTATTTAAACTGTAAAATAAAAGCCAGTTTATAATATTATTAAGCATAACTTAAACGGAAGCAATGATTAATAATTTATTTAGTTTTTTTTAATTCTTTATATATATTTACGTGTGTGTTTGTTAATGCCTCTTGATATTGCTCATTAATAATTCAAATAACGAAACAATCAACAAAATGACTGCTGGTTTAATCCAAAATTTCGTTCCATACAAAATGTATATATATTTCACCTTAAAACGTATTTCAAATTTTATTCATTTTTCGGGCTCAGTGTAATCGTCATTTAATGAGCGCATTAATTTGTTCGGAGGCTTATAAACATTCCCTGATTAATTTTAATCTTCGCAAAGATGATTTTTTTTTTTTTATTAATAATTGAGCCGTATTAAACCAACGATGCCTTAAACCTGGCACTGGAAAGCGACACCTAATAATACATATGTGGCTAGCACAGGTGTTGCGTTGGCCGGCCAACGTTTCCTAAAAATGTGAATTTATGTGCTCACCCGACGGACGGCAATGATCGCCGGGCTCATGCCTTAAATTAGGGGGTTTAACGCTTATCCTCTTGCAGTAAATAGACTCAGCGACCAACTATATTACTTGTGGACCCTCACCAGTCCCACATATTCTCCCCTCATTCCCGCGATTGTTTATAGTTGTTTTCCCTCTTAATGTGTTTTTTCCGGCGACATTATTCTCTTGATAATGTGTAATCAAACTAGTAAAATAATACTCTCATAACAATAGCTCTACTATTGTAACACCAAGTCGGAGTGAAGCCACATCAAAGTTTTAACAGCTGCGTCTACACTGACAAAGATATGCGACAGGAGCAATAAATTTTGTGCTCTACGAGTTTATAACTAGAGTAAAATAGGCATGAAACTTGTTTACTCGAATGTTCGTAAAGTGTTGTGGATGATAAAATACCTACGGTGCACCTGAGACACGAACGCTAACTCGTACACGTAGGATCCCGTATCGCTTCACGTTAGCTCCTAATTTCACCTTGTTTGAACATCCTTATGATATTGCCTGTCACACAACACTCTAGCACTCTATGGCAATGTCAAGGAATTGTTTATTACATAGTTAATGGAAATGTTTCGTTAGTGTTTTGGTGAAGTACGAAAATATAGAATATTGTTACTTTGTTCACAGATTCATTCCAAGCCCTAATCCAGTATCCGGACACTCTATCAGCGCAAACTGCAAAAACGGTGAGTACTAAAAACTTTGTTTTTATTTAACTGTTTGTAAAGTAAAACCATAAAACAAAGTTTGCTATTGCCACACGTTTCATTCACTTTAATGACTAGCTTTCGAACTATCTGGAAATGAAGTGACTTAGTCTTTATCTACTCGTTTAAACTGCGTATCTCTGAGTTTAATATTGTAGTTACTATTGGTTTCTAGTTTTTGTTATTTGTTATCTTTGAAAAGTTATTAAAAATATTTAATTGTATTACGATGTAATCTTAAGAAAGGTTTACAAAGATAACAAACTTAATTAACAATTTAGATTTTTAAGTATCATGATTTATACTATACAATTAATATTTTACTAACATAAAAATCGATTGTTTAAGAATTATACGAGTAACATTATTTAAATTATTTGTAATAGAAACCCAGTTTGAATATTAAACTATTGCATGTTTCATATCGAAACATATAATTTTAACCCTGCACAAAAGATATACTATTGTGCATACATTCATATATATATATATATATATATATATATATATATATGAATATATATATATATATATATATATATATATATATATATATATATATATAGTACCATAGACGTAAAAGACTACTGTTTCGCCCATGATATTCTTCATGCGTTGCCATTCTTGAGAATTAAGGTGTTATGTCTCGATACCTTGTATATTCATTATTTGCAATATACTAATATAATGAAAATAGGAAGTAAAGGGTTATCAATCATACCCCCAATTGAGTACTAGTCCTTGTGTTAATTCCTATTTAAACATATTATTGCTAGTGATAAATTACAAATTATAGACGTAATGAACCTTATGCAATAGAACGAAGTAGGTCTTTTAAATGTCATCCTAGTCATAGGGATCGTGTTCGTAAACTCTAACAGAGGATCGTCAGTTTCTACAATCGGAGACGTCATTAGCAGACATTCTCGACGTTGGGTAATAGCGTATCCTATTGTAGACTTTATGAGGCAATGTAGCATTGCCCATATATCTATAACACGAAACTAATCCATACTAATATTATAAAGAAAAAATATTTGCTTGTTTGTCCTTTTGTTTGTAATGAATAAACTCAATAATTATTCAACCGATTTTAAAATTCTGACTCCTATAACAATCTACATTATTAGCAAGTAACAAAAGCTATATATGTATTATTTTCAAAAAAACCATTTCAGTTAGAAAGCACTTAATAATATCGATCAACTTTTAAATCATTACAATTGCAATTTTAATATACTAACGTGCGTGTTATACTTTTTGTAACCTATTTATATACTACTATCGGTCAATTCTAAAATGTAATTTTTCTTAAGTTGCCGCTATAATCCTACGATCTAAAACCATTCACCTTTGTCTTTTTCTAAAACTATTATTGAGATATAGGCTGAGAAATGGTCCAGTTGATAAAACAAATATACATTTGTGCGCATTTAACAACAATATGATCGTGAAACAGTGAGGCCGCTCTGCCACAGTGCTGTGCCCGTCGCGCCGAGTGGGACATCATTTTTCTCGACCCAACTTTTCCCATTCGCTATTCATTTGCGTTAGAAGTTGGCCGTGCCGCCTACTGCAGCGACTGTTTTAACTTTATTTCTGATGCAGCGTTCAGGGCAAATTAAATTTCGTTTTGTGGTTTCCGCAAACTCGCTTTATGTGTTTAATTATTGAGTTTTCATTTTTTGTCCATTTCATGAATGTTATAAAATGCTCAGACACGCATAACTCGTTCTGTTTTTACTTGTTCGTCTATTTTTGAAATTAATATATGATAATAGCCAATTATGTCCAGTATGAATAATCGAAAAATATTATTCGTTTTTTATTTGTTGTACATACATATTTATTAACGATTATCATTTATCGACAATGAAACTTTGGTGCTCATCGGCTAAAGCGTTTCATTTATTTCACGAATCCATCCGTAATATACCTGCACGCTATACAATTCGTTAATGAATTTTAGAATAGCGAGCTCACTATCCAGTCAAATTAGTCTCTCTTTACACCCGAATCGTGTAGAGCGTGCTTAAGTGTTTGGTTTAAAAGAAGAACGTTTGCGTTTTTTTGTTCGTAACGTAAATTTCCTTACTAACTCCATTATCACAGTAAGTATTCGCTTTCAGTTTGTAACTTAGTGAACAGATAAATAGCTGCGAGCGAGGAAACCTGTCATGGAATTGAGATATCACTGGCAAAGCGGAGTGGAGTAGTGAAAACTTAGCAACGCTAAGTCTCATCAACTCGGCGGCCGTGGTTGCAATTGAACCTGATAGGGGCTTTAGCTAGTGTCGACTATAATATGATATAAGCGCAGTGCCACTAGTTTAAACCGATACATAGACGTTTTAGGTATTTTATTACTAATGTAATTGCTTCATATTGAACTAGTGTTACTAAAACTACTATTTACGTCAGGAAAACATAAATTAGAGACTTTATAGCTTTTTTGAGCATAATACTCTGAGATACATTTCAATAATGTACCTGTTTGTGACACGTGTACCTATAATTCAATGAACTGTGAAAGGTCGTTGCTATAACTTACTTCTATTTACTTTTGTGGAATATAACTAGGTTCCTTTCGATAGTTTAAAACTAACAGAATAAAGAGCACAAAACGAAAGGCAGAACATAAAATCAGGAGGTTTAAACTGTACGTACAAAATAGTTTTGGAATACAGTTGAGACACCTCCATTTTTTATTTTGCATTAAATAAAAAAAGTAAGAAAAGGTGTATAACGAGCATTCGATCGTATGGTATAAATCCACCTTAACCCAAAATAAGGAAATAAATACATGTTTAATATACTAGCAATATGGAATGTCATAGTTTATGTATTAGCAATTTATTAGGTTCATATTATTTTTACCTTATAAATTCGGATAGATATAAAAAGCGTACGGGAATCTTTACGGTTTTACACATTTAAAATAATAAAAAGAAAATATTTTAGTAGCATAATTTTAGTACTTACAAGTTAATAATTTACACAACTGTAAATTACTGTTATTTCTTCACGATGTCTCTATCATAATTACGTTTGAACAAATTAATTTAGTAAAATACATTCAGTAACAATAATTTAGATTGCTAGTTCACTTTCTACTTTCATTTATCATTCTAATTCATTCTGCACAATGCTCTAACGAATGAACTCGTAGTTATTGCGAACAATTCCTCCGTATCACTCCACCAAACCTTGTATGTCGCAAATTAGTGTTCTTGTGAAGCAACTTAGTAACGTAGCGAATTACCGTGTAGTACACATTCAGTCTAGATGTGGAAGATCTAAAAGCAAATGCAATTATTCGCTTTCTGTACATCTGTATTTTGTGTGCACTAATAATATACTATTCAGTTTCCATCATCCCGTTAATATTTAGATTTCAATTATAAGAAGTTCATAACTACAACAGTGATATTTTAATAATGTAAATAGTCAAATATACAACTGATGTATGTTGTGTTGCGACTAAGGATAATTCACGAAACTTTAGTAAGACCACGGGAGAACAGTTTAACATTTGTTTAATTATTAAAATGTACCTCCAAACATATAGTGATTATAGAGATTGTAGTTATTAAAGCAATTCCGTAAAGTACCTATACACAGCAAAGCTAAGATTTTTCTATATTTCTAATATAAAAGACATTACGTTTCACCCATTTATGGGCACATATCTATTTTTCCTAAATCTATGATCCTATTTTGAAAGGTTGAAAGGTTTTATACATATGCCTACGTAAGCAGTCACAATAGTATTGCCCTTTGAAATGTGAAATGTTCCATAAACTGATAAATTACGAGTAGTATTACACGTATTCCAATATAGCTTCTGAGATTGTTAATAAATATAATTTATGATGCAGATATTTTTTTGTCTATGGTATTGTTTATTATGAATATTTAAAAAAAATATAAAAATTGTTATTAACTATCCACTGCTGATCATAAGCCTCGCCTATGGAGGAAGTAGAAAGGGTAAATTGCCACGCTTGGGTTGATAACTGCATTTAATAGAGACGCTGCTGCCCATCCTTCGACCATTAAGATATCCTCAATAATTTCATTAATCAGTCTTTAACTTCAAAATCAAATGAGAGAAAATATTGAAGCAATCTTATAAGACTTGTTTATTACTCGATGAAGGCGACTATCGAAGAGGTGTATTGATGGCGTAATAACAATGCATTAACAATAGTACAGTGGTCGCAATAAGCCACCCTCTCGTTAACGGATCTAACATCGTAACTCGGTACCCGAGCTAACGAGCTTACAATGTCGGTGGATACTATTTTTATGACTGTCATGTTTCGTACTGTGTTCTTACCTAGTACAGAAGCGAAATAATAAAAGATTTGGAATTGTGAATTATATGGTTACAGTTTTCAATAAAACATAACTTTAATCATATATCAGATAAAATGTTAAAGTAACATATAGGTAAAATATAATATGAAAATAGTAAAGCTAAACTAACTTATATTGATCAGAGTGATAAGGAAGATAAAATGTGTTGATGTCTAACATATGCGATTACTGAACATTCCATCAAATGGACCATCACATTTTTCCATTCCACGTTGCATAAAAATAATAGACCACGTGTTATGTGAAGCAGACGTCAAAATCTCCGCATACGGTACTCATGATATTAGAATTCACGGAACTCTTTATGGAGCTACCCACAGGATAAGAGGTTTGTTTTCAACATAGATTTATAACTTTGAGAGTAGCGTTAACTAATTTACCAATAAGTTGTATATGCCAATTATTTGTGATAGGGAAATATTAATTTGCATAATCATTGGTTTATAAAATTTAAAGAATTCCTACCCTTGTAGAAAATGTTGAACCATGCACTAACAAATCGCGGTGTCTCCACTCATACAGTCCTCGCCTTACGTACTCTGGGGATCCAACTGCCCGCAGATTTTACTCTAAATGGAATTAAAACGCCCCGCGAGGTA